AGAACCTTGACTAGTTAACAATAAGAAAGAGGAAACCTACTAATATATAACTGAACACAAATTAGTCAATTCCCCCTTCCCCAAATCTGAGGCCAGGCCTGGTTAGCAGAGGCCTCCTTCTGATAGGGGTCCCATTCCCACGGGTTGTGGGAGCCAGCAGCCTCTGAGGGGACCTGTGCTGCTAGGGCTGTGACAACAGGCCACGCACAAAGGGGCGAATCTGCCTCAGCTCCAGGAGAGTGACGTCGCTGAAAATATGGACCCAGATTTTTCTAGAGAGTCCGGAAGTGACTATGCCAGCTCAAGACAAACAAGCCTAAAAAACAGGTTTGTGCACCACCAGCAACCTCTGGTAATAGGACATAACCAATGAAGACATTGGATAGTAATTACTTGCCCCTCTATCCACCAAAAGGACTGGCAAGCAGAGGTGAGGCATCTGTCCTGTTCCTGTCACATGGGAGGTGACTTCTGTGAGGCAGTCTGAGCACACAGTCCTTGGAGATTCTCCATTCCCTTTGCTTTTAATTTTATGCTCACCCAGAAAGCTTCTGCTCACTAATTTGACTTTACAACAAACTAAAACTAGCAAGGGGGTAATCTGAATAGGGGATATGCTGCTTTCAGTCTGTGGAAGGGGCAATTCCTTTGTATCAATAAATTTGCATATTGGTTTTAAACAGAATTCTTTCTTGAGTTTGTTTAGCATTTGTCTGCTTATAGAGCTTTGAACAGCTCTGGGGAGGCTGAATATGTAACCAGCCAGTAGGCCTTTTTTTGTAAATGCCGCAGGCACTGTTTCTTGGTGTATAAGATTAAATTGTTAGCTTTGTTATTGGCTCAGATTGGTAATTAAAAAATCTCTTATCACAGCCTTTGATTTTTTTTTTTAGTTCCAGACTTTTCTTTCCATGTTCCTGACCCCCTGACATTTCCATCTGTTAGCAACAAATTGCTTTTTGGGTACCAATGTCTCCCCAAGTTGACTTTACTTTTTTTCTTCAGCATTCTTTTGTTTTCTTTCTTTCTTTACTTTTGTTGTTTTAATTTGGAAACTCACCTGCTTCCTCAGGGATCATACTGAGATCCCATATGTCATGGGCTCACCCGGATTGAAATGAATATCGTTTTGGACCTGGGCTGACCAGTATGATAGCCACTAGCCATACATGACTTTTGAATATATAAAATGTGACTGGTCTGAAATGAGATGTGCTGTAAGTGTAAAATTCACACTAGATTTCTAAGACAATATCAAAAAAGAGTGTAAAATATGAATAAATTACAAAACCACAGGTTAAAATGACAATATTTGGCTATGTTAGGTTAAACAAATGTATTATTAAAATAAATTTCACCTATTTCTTTTTGCTTTTTTAATGTGGCTACTAGAAAATGTAAAAGTACATATTTGGCTAGCAATATAATTCTATTGTCTGTTTTACGGTGTCTTAATGTGGGTATTCTTTAGAGTCCTGTAAGTAGCTTAAAAACCGTATTAAAAACTCCATTTGGTTGGACCATCCAAAGTTAATCTTCCATTTCTTTTTCTCTATTTTGATGCACCTTATCAAGTGATTCTCATTTTTCCTTTTGTTTAAAGGCTAAAAGGAAAGGAGAAATTTTCTTTTTTGATTTAGAAGTAGGCACAAGATAAATGCATTTAAATGTGATAGGGATATAAGCAAAACAAAGTAAATAACCCTGCCTGTAGAAAATCTGTTAACAAAACAGTAATTTATGCACCTGGACAAGCAACAGTCCCACGAGGAAACGCAGCCGCTTTAATCACTTTACCTGGGGGCCCTACACTGAGCACTGTTTCTTTCCACTTGAGTGGAAGCATGCTGGATGCCAGGTCAAGCTGTTGGGAGTTTTGCATCTTTTATACCAGGCCTGTCTTTTGAGGCTCACTTTTATGTTACGTAAATGATCATTTATATCTGTAGCACACGGACAGTGATGAGTGTAGGTTAGAGAGTCAGAGGGATCTAGGTTTGATCCTGGCTTGTGCCAGTTATTTTACCTCTAGAACTTCACCTGCTGACCTGTAAAGTAGCAATAATAAGATCGTTCTTCCTTTTCTGATGGGGAAACATCTGCTTCTGCTCCTAGCCCTTCTCCACTCGAATCTTTTGAAATCTGCTCTACAAATACAATTGAGCCTCTACTTTTGGCCAAAGAAATTGTATTCCTCACATCGAGTCTGTGAAAAGAGCTTTGAGAAGACAACTGGTTTGGGCACTTGACATATGTCCACTGACCCAGGCTGGAGAATGTTCAAAGTGAAGTGCGGCTTGCAGAATGCATCCATGGCAGGCAAGGAGATTAAGCTGGTGAGAAAATGCCTGCACTGGAGTATGTGTGGGCAAAGGACATCGGTGTGTTTCTTGCAGACCCAACACAGGGACAGAAAACTGGCCATGAGCCTTCTTAAAGGGACATTGTCCAAGAACACAAAAAAGGTCTCAACTACAAGGGCGCTCCTTGCAGAATGCTGAAGACCAGGGCTTGCAAAGGGAGAATAATCAGCTAGGGAGGTTACTGAGTGGTCTTTGAGGAGCCCTGGATATGACCCAAGAAATAGGGTCGGCTTTTAAACACTTGTCAGCTCACAAAAGCAGCCCTAGAGAATTAGCTTCATATTTGGAGGATAATGTTCCATATGCTTAAAATGGCTTATAATTCGTCCTTCTCCGGCCACATTTCAACCCCTTTCTCTCATCAGCTGTACATGACTTCCTCAGGTAAGTCAACTTGTCGCTTCTTGCTGAGCTGAGGTCTAGGCTAGAACCTGTCTGGGAAGCCTGTGTTTTTCCCTGAGTAATCCTGTTCCATGCAAACAGTTCCCAGGCTCAGGGAGGGGGGCTGCCATTAGTCTGGTAAAGATAAGATGCTCCTTATAGGGACAGTAGTAAATTAGACTCACATTATTCAATAAGAAATTGTGGTCATCGGCTGTGTTAACCAGCACCATGATGAGAAATTGAAGCATAGCATAGAACACTGTGGCCTTCATGTTAAGCCCACCCCATCAACCGGCTTTAGCCAGTTTAAAGACTAACTCAAAAGTGGAAGAAGAAGAGCAGAGGGTAAGGTAGGGATAGAGAAACAGTGCTTTTCTGTGTGGCATATTTGAACGCATGCCAGTAAATAACAAGGTGTTAAAAGAGGAGAATGAAAAGTAAGTGCTAAGGGGACTGAAAGAAAAGGAAGAATCAACAATCAAGAGTTTGGGGTGGGCTTTAAATAGTCCAGATTCTAAGGACTGCCCTCAGGTGGCTACAGGAAAGTGAAAGCCTGGGAATTCCTCACTTGGAAACAGGAGAGGTAACTGGGGCCAGGGATTAAGGAGAAACAACAGGATTGGTAGGTGGAAGGTGCATTGTGATTGTGAAGAGTGCAAATGCCAGGGTGAAGGAGCAAAATGCCCATCGGAGGCCCAGGTACTGACAGAATGGCTTTTGAGGAATTAAATGATATTTGAGTGTCCTAAAGTGTGCACTCTCTCTTTTTTAAATATTGAGAGGGCTGAAGAATCCATGCCAGACTGTCTCAAATTAAGGGAAGGAGTTAAGAAAGTTAAGAAGGGGAACCAGTAGGGGAAGAGATATCCCTTTCCCTTTCCCCCCAAACCCTAGATTATTAACCCCCATTATTAACACGTTTCTATTTTAAAATAAACTCTTTATGGTTAGCTAAGACTTTGAGCGATTTAACAGTTTTTCCTTTGTGGAGGCCAGTTGGAGGTTTTTGCCTGGGCAGACAAGGGTAGAATTTGGGTTACATCTCCCATCAGACTGGAATATCAGTACAAGGTATCCCCGGAGTACTAGTGATCTATCCATTCACATACCTGTGCACCCACCTACCCACTCATCTTCCATCCCATACCTGCAAACAAGCATGTTTTTGAGTGCCTACCACATGGGAGGTTCCATACTCTACCCAGGCTGAGTCATACCTAACACTGCTCTCTCCAGTGTATGACACTATATTGGGTGGGGGTGATAAAACAAGGATGGCAGTTGGATAACTGTCACAGCTGAGAGATGAGCAATTGGAGGTTTATTATAACATTTCTCCTGCTTTTTGGTATGTTTGATAATATGCCAATAAAGTTAGATAACTGTCCTTTTCCTCAAGCAAGGAAACTAGATTTAATAAATGCCTAAATCATAGGGGAAGTTCAGCTTGGAAGTTACACCCAAGGTATTAGGGCAGGGCTGCAGAAGGTCCACAGGAAATGCCTCCAGGTCGATGGTAACAGTTCTCTAGAAGTACTTGCTCACATTAGGAAGACAAAAACTATAGGTGTGACTTGGCCTCAGGCTGCATTGGGAGGTGCTGTTAGGTCAAGGTCAGGAGTGCAGAAGTAGCCTCTATCTACTACACTGCCAAGGCCTTATCTAATCTTTCCTTCCTTCCCCTTTACTTAAAGTCAGCAGTGGTAAGTAGATATTCAGAGTTGGCCAACATCATCTGAGCGCTTACTATGTGCCAGGCAATATACAAAGTCTTTGGATAAGATTCCACTCACCCTTCTTACTGAGGATAGATCTGGGAGCCGAAAAACTCCTCAAGGTGTGGGGAACATGACACGTGCAAGGGCAGTTCAGGAACCCTGTCTTTCCAATTTAAGTCCTGGAGAAATACGTCAGAGACTTTGTGGAGGATCAAGCTACGTGGTTTTGAGCAAGTCCCTGGGCTTTCCTGAGCTGACTCAGTTTCTCTAGCTATAAAAAGGGTACAGTATAACCTTACAAGGTTTCTTTGAAGGATCACAGACCTTTACTGTCAAGATCCTGGCACCCAGCGAGGGCTCCGTAAGTGGCAGCCATCATTCTTGGCCAAGTGCAGGCGCATCCTCCCGGGCGCGCCTCCCACGGGCGTCCCTCCGGACTGGACGGACCCGCCCCCGCAGCTCTTGGTCTTGTAGAGCTGGTGGCAGGTGGCCCCGTCTTGGTGCCCACGTTCCGAAGTGGGGAGTGCCGGCGGGTTGGAGAACTAAGCTCTCCCCCGGAGGATCTGATCCCTCCCTCCTCCCACACGCCTGGCGCAGGTGAGATTTGCGGCTTAGGCCACCGGGACAGGGACTTGAAGAAAAGTCGGGGCAGACTGCACTGCCTGCGGCGGGGAGAGGAGTCCTGGGGGCGCCCTTTCCTTCCCCCAGTTTCACCCTGTGCGGGTCCGCGTGCCGGGGCCCGCGGGCTGCGCGCTCTGCGGCTGTGAAAACCCGGAGAGGTGGATCGGAGCGCGCTCGCAGCCAACTCCTCCGCGGTCCGGCCGCGGAGCTGGGCATGCTCAGTGCGGCCGGCGCGCCGCCGTCCGCCAACTCGGAAGCTTGCGCTCCGGGGCCGTGGGGGCGAGAGCGCCGGCGGCGAGTCGGCGTTCCCTGGCGCCCCCAGACAGTGGCAAACTTCTCGGTGTCCCCGGAGCTCGCCAGGACAATACTGATACCTTACAAATAAAATCGCGCAACCCCCCTCTCTCCCCTTATCCCAACCCGAATAATAGAGGCTGCGGCCGCCCGAGTGCCGCCGCCGGCCCCTGCCCGCTAGCTGGGGACCAACAGGTAAACTGTTGGGCGGGTGGGGGAGGGTGGGAGGGGGAGCGGCGGTCTGGGGGAGGGCGGCGGCCTAGAGCAGACCGAGGTGCCCGCGGGCTGGCCGCCCCCGTTGGCGCTCACCGCCCACCCTCCTCAACCCCTGTCCCCAGCCCCTGGAGGGGCAGCAAAGGGTTAAGTCAGCCCCGCGCCACCGTGAGCACGGCCCCCACCAGCCGCCGCGACCGCCAGCTGCGCGCCTCGGCGCCTGCCCGGAGCCGCGGATGCGCCACCCGAGCCCCGCGGGCGTCTAGGAAGCATCCGCCGCTTCCTCACCGGCCGCATCTCTGCCGCCCCATCCCCTCCAGGCCTCTCTGCCCCGGCCTGGTCCGCGCCCAGGTGGCGGGGGGTGTGCGGGGGGCGAGGTGGCCACACAGGCTCCTTGCCTGGGAAGAGGGCGGGGGCGGGCCACTCCGCTTTCTCTGCCTGGGGCCGTAGGGCCACCCTAGCCTGGGGCTAGCACTTGGGCCACCAGCCGCGGCGCGAAGAAAAGTTTTATTTTTTTCCCGGTGCCCTTCCCCCACCCCCTGCCGTCGTCCGGCTGGGGTGGGTTTGGGTCCATTGGTGAAAAAAGTCACACGTTTCCATCGGCTGCTCCTCCCCCTGGGGACAAGGTTGGGGGGGGGGACTGGAGGCCGGCGTCGCGAAGGACCCCGGCAGACCCGCAGCCGCTCGGTCGCCGCCGCAGGAGCGCTGCGTCCTGGGGCTCCCGAGCAGCCGGGTGCCCGCCGAAGGCTGCCCCCATCAGTGCGTGTCTGCGTGCCTGGCAGCGGCAGCATCCAACCTGCTTTATTCCTTCCTGCAGCGCCACAGCGAGCGAGCGGGCGAGGAGGGGGAGAGAGGGAGTCTGTCTGCAAAGTGCTGCTCCCTGGTGCTCAGAGGCGGCTGCTCCAGCTCCAACTCTCATTCATTTCGCCGGTTAACATGAGAGATCATGGCCGCCTTCGGGCTTCTCAGCTATGAGCAGAGACCGCTGAAACGCCCCCGGCTCGGGCCGCCCGACGTCTACCCGCAGGACCCCAAGCAGAAGGAGGTAAGGGCGCCGGCGGCCTCCCAGGCAACTGGAGCCGCGCTCCGCAGCGCTGACCCGGGGCCAAGTTGGCCCAGCGGGCAACGGCGGCGCTGCGGGGGAAGGGTCGGGCAGCGGACTGGCGGCGGGGGCCCGGCTGGGGGCTGGGGACTGGGGGACCCCCGGCGGCAGAAGCCGAGCGGCTGTCAGTTCCCGCGCCCCACAGGGGCGCTTGATCTTCGGGTGTAGGGTCGCTTCTCGGTTAGCGGGCCTTGCACGACACAGCTGGGCGCCTCATCGGGTTCTTCTTTGCCGTAGCCTACCAGCTCGCTCTCCCCCGCTTTTGCGTGCTTTATTTTCCCTCCCGCCGCTTCGGTAAATCCTGGTAAACTTTTTGGAAGATCTTGGAATGAGGAGCATCCGACACAGGTTTTGGGTTTTGCGCAAGCTGAGTGGGGACGGGGTGTGTATGTGTGGGGGGGAGGGGGACCTTTTCTGTTCACAATTTTCAGTTTGGAGTGAAGTCGTTTTTATCGAGGTGGTAAATATTTAGCTCTTTGGAGGTACTTCTTTCCATATCCCTTCTCTCCTTTAAAGATCAATATTACAGGGAAACGCCGATTTCGTCCCTAGAGGCGATTGGCTTAATTGCTGGAAGCTGTTTTGTATATGTAAAAGTCGTCGGGTCAGGTCCCGGGATTGCTTATTTCTTTGAATGAAATTGAACTGTGGAAACCAGTGATTCGTGCCCTAGGTACACTATCTTCAATGGCTAGAGTAACCATGGCATTTTGTAGCCATGTATGTGTTTGTCAGTAGTTAACAAGTAATTATGTAACAACTCTCTTGTTATAATGATCACCCTTCACTACACAATTTGCCCAGGGATTTGCCTTTCTTTCTTTCTTTTTTTTTTTAAAGATCACCAGCTACCCAGCTCCGCTTTTATGAGTTTGCCAGTTGCAGCCCACCCATCCATCCTCTTGTTTAGCTAAACCGAAAATGAGCACATTTCAGAACTTCTCTTTCTGGGAATGTAAAAACTCTCCATTAAAAGTTTACGGACTGACTGACATGACAGAAAAGGCTCTGTGAAGAGGCAGGGAGGGGTTCTTCAGACTTCCTTTTGAAAAATTATCTAATTCAATAGTAGAGAAAGAATGGTCTGGTCCAACTGTTTTAATGTTTCTGAAAAATAAGGAGTGAAAACTTCTTTTAGAGGTTTAGCACATTAAACACGTTTGAGCATCCACAGAGTAATTCTGACTGAACTGGGAAGGTTTTACAGGTGTCTTTCAGCTGAGGCTTAACATGACGAAAGGAGTTTGATCAGATTTTTTAGATTTCTTTCCTACCCATTTCCATTTTCCTCCCTGACCCAGAATAAAGTTAATTGTTAAGGACTGGAAATAACAGGTGAAGGACCAAAGGTTATAAAGAAGTTAGTAGCTTAAAGAAGTTAGTGGCAGGAAATTCTTGGGAGTTTCATTTGGGACAGGTATGTACATTGGCTGATCTTTATTATCTTGCAGTTAATGTCTTGCTACATGTTTCTGGAGGGCGCTGTGATTGATGATAGCATCTTCCCGGTTAAGGGGTGGTGGCCTGTGATGCCATGTGGACGTTTATTTCTCAGGTTGAAACTCATTCAGGATTGAGACCTCTATGATTTTGGGAAAAAATAGTTTGGGATTTTTAGGATCTTACAACATTTTATGGAATTCTAAAACTGGAAGTGACCTTAGAGTCTACTTTGTATAACTTTTGACAAAGTGAAACTGAGGCAGGCCCAGGAAAGGGGATCTGATTTAATCAAGGTATGTGGTGAATAAGCAGAGGAGTTGGACCATTAAATCAGTATTTATATCAAGACCAAAACTGTGTTAAGGATGATTTATGCTAAATTATGTTGTTCTGATGTTACTCCCCCCCTCCCCCAACTCAGCCACATTTTCTCTCTCTGGAGCAGAGTGAGAGTTATGTGTGACAATAGCCAAATTTGAGTACAATATGGAACAGGTGCTTTGCTGTTCTTGGGTGGTGCTGTGGTGAGCAGTCTGGTTTCACAAGCTTCAGTGATTTATGCATTGCCTCCGAATTTCTGCCGTATCTGTATCACCTGTTCTTTTATTCTCATGTTTTCTTTAATTAACTTTTAAGGATCTTTTTATGTTTCACGTATACTCGTGAGTTCAATGGATTGGATGTGATGCATATATATTCAATACGTAAAATCTGTAATTTATATCATTATATATAACTTTCGATTTTTGCTTACTTGCTAGTACACCCATACATGATTATGTGTATTAAAACGAGGCCATGGTATTAAAACCTTAAAAAGTTCACCTGTGCATCTCAGACCATTGTTGTGTTCCGTCAGAGACACGCATTGTGGGAAATGCTGATCTAATGGAGGAGCTGGGGGCTTCCAAGTTGGACAGACCTGGGTATGGATTCTGGTTCAGCCTCTTGGCAGTTGTGTGTCTTTGGGCAAGGTGCATAACTTCTCATTTGTAAATGAGTATAATTGTGCTTTTCAGAAAAATTTGAGAACCTGGTACTAAAGTAGCATTACATTTGCGTGAGAAAAAGCCTGGTAGAAGGTATTCTTATTACTGTAGCTGTAACTTTTAATTGTTGTTAACCAGCGCTAATGGTGTTCTGGAAGACACCTCCCAGGGGATGGGATGGGACCGTGAATGTGGACCCCTGGCAGAAAAGTATGGGGGGAGCGGAGAGCTGCAGGCTTTAACCTGCCGATGAGTTGATTATATTTGTTGGAGAGTGTGCTGTGGATCTGCACTCCATGGGACTTTATCATATATTGTGATATAATACTTTGCCCTCTGGAAACATAGACCGTTCTTCAAGCCTTGAAAACTGGGAATCAGAAAACTAAGCATCAGCCTTGATTCCTTCTTTTCCATTACACCCCTTAATACAGCTGTCAGGACATCTGGTCTAGTCCAGTTTCCAAATGTATTTCCAAGTGCATTCACTGCCCCCCCCCCCCACGCCCCTTTTGACCAATATGCTTGACCTCCTTTCTGCTTCAGGCTGATGTTTTTCCTGCCCCAGGACTCATATGCCTGTCTGCCTCTCCACCTCCACTGTTCCACCAGTGTTCCCGCCTTAGCCTGTGGTTAGGAGGGTAGGGTAGGCTCTGGAGCCAGTCTGCCTGTGTTCAAATCCTGGCTCTGCTGTTCACATACTCCTGTCCTCCCCATGCCTCAGTATTCCTTCCTGTAGAGTGGGGCTGGGACTACTGTCTATAGTGCTGTTGGAAGTTTGCAGGGATAGTGCTTGTAAAGCACTTAGAATAGAGTCTGGAATGTGTTCAGTACACAAATACTTGCTGGAAACTATTGTCAGGGCTGCCTCTTCTTCATTGGTTAGGTCTCAGCCCACTGAACTGCCTGAGAGGCCTCTCTAGTATAAGTATATAATTTTTGTGTGAATATGTGTTTATTTGCATCCTGCCACCCCCACTAAAAGGTCAGTTTTGAGGCTGAGAGCTGTTCCAGGCATACCAGACTACCTGGTGTCTAAGTGCTGTTAGTTGTTGGGATACTTAGGGCATGAATATGTGGAATTTATGAATGGAAGTGGGAATGAATGAATGAGAAGAGAAAATCTGGTGCCTGAGGGGCATTAGGGAAACTCTGGGTTAAGGGAGAAATTATCCTTGGCCTCTACCTTAAAGGCTACAAGGCCGAAAGCTAAATTAAACTCTAGATGTGGAAAGGAGGAGTTTTCCCTGGGGCAAGAAGAGACCTAAACAGCTCAATAGTAAATATTTTCAGGAAATCAAATTAGCTAGAAAAATAAGGTTGGGGCAGTAGTGAAATTGCCATGCGTGTACTCACTTCTACAACCTCTGACTAGCCAGACCACCTGGTTTTGAGTTCTGTGTCCATCACTTACTGCCTACTTGACTCAGAGCTCACCTGTGGAAGGGGTTTCATATTTGTTTCTAACTCATGCTGTTGTTCGGATGAGATTTGAACCACAGCTGGCACTGGGACTGTGCCCAGCACAGGCCAGCTACTGTTAGCAGGATCACCCACTCACCCCAGCCCGCCTGGTTACATGATCCCGGGGCTTCCCATTGTACTTATGACAACATCCACAAGACCCTGCCCTTTAATATCTGGCCTCTGGACCTTGAGTCACCTTTTCTTGACTTGCTCATGGCCCTCCTGGCTCAGTGGTGGGACCACTGGTCACCTCTCTTTTCTTCCAACAGGTCCAGCTCTTTTGTATGCAGGTTCCTGGCACTTGCTGTCACTCTAGTCATGTATTCTGTCATTTGTCTCTTAGAGATTCCCACCCATGTTCCCTATCCTTGCTTGTTCATTATCTTGTGTTGGTGTGTTTTGTAGTGCTTGTCAGTGTTTGAAAGTGTACTGTTAGGTTGCTTACTCATTCCCTGGTCTTCCTTCCACACTAGAATGCAGGCTTCATGAGAGCAGGGGCTGGCCTGCGGTGTCCATGGCTGTGAACGCCCACGTGCCTGGGACTGGAGAATGTGTTCAGTATATAGTTGTGGAAGAAGTTATTGAAATGCGGAAAGAACTCTTACTGAGCAGTTGTATTTATAACATTTAACTGTCCCAACGCATATTTTATGTTGGCAAAGACTGTTATTAGCATCTATAACTTAAAACATTAAATGCTTATTTTAGAGACAGCTGGGGAGGTGGGGCGAGGGTAGGTGAACATTTGTTTCTTTACAGTCTTTGAGAGGGAGGATGTTGATGAAGTTGCTTGGGAAGACAGGGCAGGTTGGCGAGTTGCCTGGGGGACCAAAAGACAGAGGTGGTTAGGGCGACAGCTTCCCCTGGGATTAATTGGCCCCATCAGAGACACCTGCCTGAATACCGGTTCTCCTGAAGGGGCATCTGCGTGTTTAACTCTGGCCTCAGGAGTCTCTGAGTCCGGAATCTGTGCGTAGGAAGCACTGGGTCAGAGGCCCTGCTACCTCCTGCTCACAGAAGTGCTGCTGCCCAAACTTTGTGGTC